CACCGTGGCCAAAATGGCTATCCTGGGGTTCCCCAGCTGCAGCGTAGCAATAGATAGGACACACATCCCCATTTGAGCACCTGACCCGAACAGCCCACTTCAACAGAAAGGGCTACTTTGCCATGGTGCTGCAGGCCCTGGTCGACCACCATGGACACTTTACCGATGTATTTTTGTGGGGTGGTTGGGCAGGGTACACAACACCTGCATCTTTAGAAACTCCAACCTGTACCATAGGCTGGAGGCGGGCACATTCTTCCCCCACCGGGAATGCGCCATTGGGGATGTGCAGATGCCACTATGCATCATGGAGGACGCGGCCTACTCCCTCATGCCATGGTTTACGAAGCCATACACTGGACACCTGGACCCCAGCAGGGAATAATTTGATGAACCGAGCTAGGAACCAGGTCGAGTGCGCCTCTGGCCATCGGAAGGTGCTCTTTCGTTATCTTCTGACCCTCTGGACATGGGGGAGCACAACGTTGCTGAGGTGGTTGTGGCATGTTGTGTCCTCCACAACATTGTGGAGAGGAAGGGGGAGGCCTTCCTCCCGGGCTGGGGGGACAGACACCGGCTAAGTGGGCCATGCATTTGAGCAGCCCTGGACAGTTGCCATCCAGCAAGCCCATCAGGCCAGGGTGCTCATCTGGGAAGCCCTGAGGGAGAGATTATCGTAGGCACCCCAGTAACTGTCCCCAGGGCCTCCTAACAAGGGGCCCCTGCCCAACCCCTCCCTTTCCTCCTTCCCCCACTTCCTAATAAAGGAGCCTATGTGCATGGCAACCAAACCAAACCAAACGTGCTTTATTTAACATGACTGAAAGGTAGGCAGGGGGAGGGGGCTCTGAATTGGGAGGGGGGCTTATGTTTCCCAGGGATATCTGCCAGTGCCACCTCAGGTGCAGGGGCCTCGTTGGTCTAGTGAATGGGTGGGCGCGGGGAGCACAGGGACATAGCGAGCATGGGGAGGCAGGAGAGGGGGACATGGGGTCGTTGTGGGGGGCAAGAGGGGACACATGGGAAGCAGCATGCTGGCCATGAGATCTCCAAAGCGATCACAGTGCTCTGTGAACTGTTCCTAGGCATGCTGGCGCCACTCATAGTCGGAGTGGACTGTCTCAGCCAGCGTCCGCTGCATGTCCTCAATTGCTGCCACATGAGCTGGTCCCAGGGCCTGGCACACCTTTGTGTCCCCCAAACTCTGGCAGGTGGCATCGGTGGACTGGCTGGCCCCTCACTCCCGGCTGTGGAGAACACACAACAGGGAGAGGCAGTCAGTCATCCCTGCAGACACTGTTCCTGAGGCCCCAGGGAAGTGTGACGTCAGTGGTGGCAGAGGAACTGGGAGCAGCCTGGGCCTCCCTGTGAGCTGCACGCACAGGGGCAGCTCCCACCAATGTGTACGGATGTGGCTGCTGTCTCGCACTGGCAGGCAGTCCCCATAGTTTGTGCGGCACTCCTTGGGGTGCGTGAGGTCTGGTCTGCGCCCTTGTGGCTAGCCTACTCCCAGCCTGCGACCCC